TAAAAGAATGAGGGAGATCTAGATATACAGGCCTAGAGGTATATTTGGGATAAATTGCTAAGCGAAAAAAGCAGATTGCAAAGTAAGATATGTGACAATCCCATTTTCATAAAAAATTTTTAAAAAATCCCTTAGAAATATGTGTTTAAACTGTATTATTTGGTATGGGCATGGAGGGAAGCCAATAAGGATTCATAACAGTTTGGTAACTTTGGTCATCCCGGTGGGGTTGAGAGAAGAGTATTCCCTTTTTCTTGGTAAACTCAAGTATTGTTGGACCTGCTCCAGCTAGCACTCTGGTGCTTCTGTTATTTACAATAAAATAAATCCAATGAAGCTCAGGTGCTGCTCTCCTTTGTACAAGGATGGACAAGTGACTATAATTGTGATAATTTATTGATCATTGCCTATGGGGCCATGCACTATGCTGAGAACTTTCTCTGTGTGATCACCCTGGGAAGTCAATGCACAAGAAGAAATGGGGGTCATGGGGGTTAAATGACCTGCTCAAGGCTGCACAGCTTGTGCACGACAGAGCAGGGATTGGAACCCAGGTGTGTGTTACTCTGAAGCAACATTCTTAACTCCTACAGAATGCTCCCACCCTGCAGCTGTGGCAGCTTCCTGTGGTCTTTCTAATAGATGGTTCCTCCTCTGGTCATATTTTTGCTTCCATTTTCTCTCTGCCATTACATTTGATAACCCTGAAAGGGAACTGACCTGTCATTCTCAGAATAAGACCTGAGACGTGTAGAGTGGAACATCTGGTTCCTGCCTGGGCCGCAAGGCATTGTCACAAACGGGGAAACTAAGTCATGAGAATGCTTCTGATGAGCTCCCCACGGAGGGAACCGGGCCTAGCAGTCCAGTGCTGGAGGGCCTTGTTGCGGCTGCCTCACTGTAGGCCGGTAGGTTTTGTTTTGTTTTGTTTTCATCTTATCTCGGGCTTGCCATCACTCTCACTGCTTTCCCTATGGAGGAAGAACTCCGGCGGATCTTACATCAGCCTTCTCAGCTGTGCGGAGAGTCAGAGTTTCCTTGCTAGAAATGACCTGAAGGATCACCTGGCTTGCTCTTTTCACACATGAGGAAACTGAGTCCCAGAGAGGTAGAGTGGCTTGTCTGAGATAACAGGGCTGCTCAGTGGTACATCTGAGACTAGAACCCGGCTCCCCTGGGTCCTCATTCTGGGCATTCTCATGCACGGCACTTCTGGCCTTCTCCCTTCCACTCTGGGGCCTTGGCTTTGATAGCCAAGAAAATCTCAGATGAAGTTTTTCTCCTTTGTCTTGTGTTGTTTATTTGCTTTTTTTTTTTTTTTTTAGATTTTTTATTTATTTATTTGAGAGAGAGAGAATGAGAGATAGAGAGCACAAGAGGGAAGAGGGTCAGAGGGAGAAGCAGACCCCCCCGCTGAGCAGGGAGCCCGATGCGGGACTCGATCCCAGGACTCCAGGATCATGACCTGAGCCGAAGGCAGTCGCTTAACCAACTGAGCCACCCAGGCGCCCTGTTTATTTGCTTTTAAATTTACTTTTATGGTGCCACTTGATCATTCTGTTTTCCATTTGATTGATTGGTGTTGTTTCTAACTTATTGCACTGAATAGGTAATACACATTTAGTTAAAAAAAGAAAAAAAAAAAGAGGGCCTTTGGATGGCTCAGTCTGTTAAGTGTCTGCCTTCGGCTCAGGTTGTGATCCTGGGGTCCTGGGATGGAGTCCCGAATTGGGCTTCCTGCTCTACGGAGAGCCTGCTTCTCCTTCTGCCTCTCCCTCTCTCTCTGTCTCTCATGGATAAATAAATAAAATCTTTAAAAAAGAAAGAAAGAAAGAAAGAAAATGTAAGCAGTACAGTGAACAGGAATTCCTCTCCCCATCCTAACTCCTCTTCCTCAGAGGCAACTGCTGTTACTATTATCTCATGGAAACTTCCATGGATATCTCAATATTTTATTTTGAAGTAATCTATACACCCTGCGTGGGGCTTGAACTCACAACCAGAGATGGAGAGTCGCACACTCTTCTGACTGAGCCAGCCAGGCGCCACAATAATCTATTTTTGAGATTATATTAGCACACATAGTGTGTTAATGGCTGCATGGGATTACATTATATTGGTCACTACTCCCCAAGTGAGGGACATGTAGATTGCTTCCAGTTTTTGCCTTGCCAACAGTACTATAGTTCACGTCCTTGCACTACAGGTCTTTAAATATCTGTACAAGTATCTCTGTAGGATGAACTCCTAGAATTTCTGAGCCAAAGTGTATGTACATTATAAATTTTGATATTCTCCAAATTGACACCAAAGCTGCAGTACTAATTTATATTCCCAGTGACAGTGTTAGAGTTCTGCTTCCCTCCACATTTGCCTAAGCTTGTAAAATATTGTCAATACTGTTTTTAATTTCTGTTTTTCTTATGATGAGTGATGTAGTCCGCTTGGACTGCTATAGCAAATTACCATAGACTGGGTGGCTTACGCAACAAAAATTTCTCACAGCTCTGGAGGCTGGGAAGTCCAAGATCAAGGGGCCGGCAGATTTGGTTCCTGGTAAGAACCCTCTTCCTCATTATGTCTTCACACGGCAGAGACAGATACAAGAAAGAGGGAGGGAGCAATCTCTCTCATGTCTTTTTATAAGGGCACTAACCCTATCACGAGGGCTTCATCCTCATGACCTAATTACCTGTCAAAGGCTCCGTCTTCCAAATACCATCACGTGGGGGATTAGGGTTTCAACATACGAAGTTTAGGGTGATACATTCAGTCCATAGCAACGATGTGCGTAGTCTGAACATCTCTTTACATATTTAAAAGCCGTATGTCTTTCCTATTCTCTAAACTGTGCATGTCCTTTGCTCATTTTTCTATTAGGTTCCTCTGGAAGACTTTTAAAAAAAATTAAATCTACATTTGTTGAAGAATGAGAATTTGGTGACCGAGTGTATAGGACAAAGGCCTCCTGGGATGGAAATGCACCCAGATGGGATGGACGATCTCACAGTCTGACTGCTTAGGCCCAAGTCACACCATGCATGCTGATAAAGTGCTTTGGCTTTCTTTTTTTTTTTTTTTCTAACCATTTTCATCAAGAGTATCTGAATAGAAATGCACAACATTGGCCTGAGGTCAGTGGGTCGGCAATTAGGATCTCTTTTTGACAGATTAGGAAACGAGGTTCAGAGAATTAAACTATGTTGGTCAAGGTAACACAACTGGGGGTGCCAAAGCCCATGGCAGGCATCAGCTCACAAAGCCTTTGGCATTCAGGCTTGGACTGCGGAGGCAGATAGACGAGGGTTTGAGTGGCTCACTATCTGGAGATCCTGAAGATGTCACCGCACTTCTGAGCCTGGACTTATTACAGTCTAAGGATAATAATAGTATCTTCTTTAGGTGGTTGTTCTGAGGATTATATGAAATAATGTATGCACATCCATCATAACATAGTGTGTGTTATAGTAATAATACACATTATAACATCCTGCTCATGGGTTTGGCTTTAGCATTCTTTGTGGTAGGTCCAAAGCTCAATTCACCTAAGACTTCTCTCTTGTATTACACGCCATCTTTGCCCTGTCTTCTACTCTTCCTTCCCTTTAGTCCAATCCACCTGAAACAGCTGGCTCTTCCATGTTTGGGGGCTTGTTAGTGAAGAACTTGTTCTCCTCCCCACCTTTTCAGGGAGCAAACGCCTTGAGGGTTGGGAGAGGGCCTCCTCTTCAGACTGGCACTCCTCTGGACTCTCAGACCATTTGCTCTCAGGAAATGTTCGTGATTGAGTGAGGGAGGGTCTGCTCCCAACACAGTCCTAGTACAGTGCCTGGGAGTTACATTCCGGCACATGGCAAGAGGTCAGGAAACGTTTACGCACTGAATAAATACACACAGTGCCTAGGAGTAAGGGCTCCAAAGGCATTTCTGGATTCGTTGCATAGCGCCTGGTACACAGAAAGCGCTAAGTGGCAGCCGTGGATATCCCGGGGCGAGGCTTATAAAACCCAGTGCAAGAGCTTGGCTTCACTGTGCATGGGCGCAGGGGTTCGAATTCTGCCGCCACTTCTTCCCAGCTGGGCGACCTCGGGCAAGTGACTTAATCTCTTCGACTTAATCTCTTTGTGCTTCAGTTTTCTTATCTGCAAAACGCGGACAACGGAGTGCGACCACGCCGAGGCACTCCCCGGAGCACTGGGACCGGCAGCCGTGCCCACAGCAGAGCCCCGCCACGCCAGCCGGCCTGCGGGGCCGGTGGCACACGCCGTGGGGGTCTCCGAGCCCTCCGCCGCGGCCGCCACGGGCGTTCCCGGGACCTGCGGTCGCGCCCCGCCGAGATCTGTGCCCCCGAGGGGGCGGGGCACGACGCCCACGCGGGGGCAGCCCACGGCAGCCTCGGGTCGGCCAGCCGCCGCCCGCTGGGGAGTCGCGCCGCCGGTACTTCTTTCTCTCTCTCTCGCTCTCCCTCCCTCTCCCGGCCGGAGGCTCCAGCCGCGCTCGGCTCAGCAGCGCCGCCCGCGAGCCGCCCGCGAGCCGCCGCCGCCGCCGCCGCCGCCGCCGCCGCCGCCGCC